ATTCGCTATATTATCGCAGAAGTATTACGTAAATAAAGAGATTAATTTAGGATCAAAACTCTTCTGCTCAAAATATTTCACACAAAATTCTCTTAAAAAATATATGTATAATCTTTTAAGTAGAAGAACTTATCAGATATAATAAAAAAAAATAATTAAAGACTTATAACATAAATTTTTAATTTATTCATGATAAATATAACTTAAAATCATTTTGAGGATCTGTATATTATGTAATTTTCATGTGAGTTAAAAGAATAGAAAAAAAGCAAGATTCTCCTTTTGTTTTATTCTTTCTTGAACTTACGTTCTTTTTATAATGATGATCATTATATCAACTCTAATTAGTAATTAGTCACAACTTTGTGCACCGTCTAAACATTTACGATAAGATAAGAATTCTTTTTTATTCTTTTTATCCACAAACATATGAATGAAATCTTTTTACCCTACTCCTTTTTTTGTCAAATATATTTACCATTTAATTATTAATAAGAAGTTTCGTATTCTGAATATAAAATTATTTTTAACGAAAAATATATCGTTCCTCCAAAATGAACTTTTGTGGTATGAATTTGAATTACTCTAATCATAAGGTAGGTATGTGTTCGATGAGAAGAAACGTAGGTTAAAGCATCCTTTATTCAATCGAAATGAATGAAATTATTTCACTATTAATTATCGGGATATAAACTCTTTGTGAATGAAAAACCTTATCAATAAAAACAAAAATTATTCTTTTTATAACGCTACATGATACAAACATAAATTAGTTGAGCGGTCTTCCAAATATCGAATAATTATATGATAAAAAAAGGCTAAAGAATATGCCATATATAAATTTATTTCCAACAATTACAACTTTACAAGCTCGGAAATAATAAGGCAAAAATTATCTTGAAATTAAACTTTAATTTACTCCAACTTGGAAAATCACTCCTCTAGCAATTACTTCCTTCGTTCGATATTATTTGTCATGATTTTTATTTTAAGAGTCAAATTATAAAAAATTTGACTAACATTTAAAGACATATTTTTTTATCATATTAATATGCAAAAAATTGTAATTTATAGTACTTTTCATATAGTTTTAGAATATCTATTTTTTTTGTTTAAAATATCGAATTATTGTGATCTAATTTACATTTGAAAATCAGTCAAATTGACTTTCGATAAGCATAACATGACAAATTATTTCGAATAAGCATAACATGACAAACAATTGCGGACAGAGGGAATATTTTATTATCACTTGCAATTATTTATTTTTGTCCTTTTTTAGAAACATTCCAACATCCCAAAAAAAAAACATTTTTCACCAAACTACTAAACTAGTTTTAAATTTGTACGGAATAATACATTATTGTCAACCTTATGTAACTCTCATTTGACATAATGTATTAGAGGGAAAAAATATTAAATAAATAAAATTAGAGAATTTTACAAATTTCATTTTTACTATTATATATATTTCAAATCCATGTCTATATATGTATATTATATGAACATAAAATTAAAATTATGTTCAATTATTTACTGCTAGATATATTTTATAATGTTTGAGATTTTAATTTAATAATTTAATGTTTCTCCTAAACACACAAAATTAAATAATGATTTGTGGAATTAATTAAAACTTAAAAAACATATGGGAAATAGACACCTTCCAGGAACAAACAAATGTCAAACCAAACGCGGTCTTTTGGCCCCAACTTATTGCCCTGCATTGCATCTCTTATTTACTCAAATTGCCATTTCCACACCTAGAATATCTCGATTTGTCAAGTTTTATATCTAAATTATTATCATTTATTTATCAACAAAGCATATTGACAATCAGTTGTTCACTTTTTCTTATTTGATTGATGGTGATATATCATTAATGCTATACAACAAAGTTCGAGTATCTCTTGATTAATAGTTTATAATAATTTAAATAAAAAATTCACACACACCTGATAATTCAAATATATAACTAAACAAAATTAAGGTATTACAAATATGTTTTTGAATCTTTTATTCTTAAAATTTTTGTCTAATTAATTAAAGTGATTTGAGGCTTCAAAATTGTATAATATAATGTATGAATCATTCTAAAATGGTGAGAATTACTTCTTATGGATTTGAATTATGGCAAAGCAAATAAAATTTTATAAGATTTTTTTATACTATTTGGATCATTTTGTCTAGTATTTATTGAAGATTTTCAATTTCCTCTTTTGATATTTTTATGATAGTTTTTTTTAATTTATAGTTAAGTTCAAGAAATCCAAAAAATCATTAGCCATAATTTGCTTTTTCACCTCAATCTACTTTATCTAAGATTAATAATATTTTCACTAATTTTTTACTTGAATATTAATTTGATATAGCGATAGGAATGGAGGTAATATGAAAATAGCACTTCAAGGTCAAATTATGACAAAAATATATATTATTGATATTAAATATAAGTTGAAATAAACTTAAAATAATTTGATCTTTAACAATTTATAATTTGAACCATTTGACTTTAAAACGTGATGTGATTTATGACATAATCATTTGCTAAGCCAAGTAATCACAACTATATTCTAAATTCACTAGTAATTCATATAACGAAGAAGAAATTATTCATACTTAATATTTAAAAATATTTTAATGTTAACGATTAAGATTAGAGTAAAAACATTAATTACCTAATTAATCATGATTAAGCAACACGTATAATATTTATGAAAGACGTGTTTCTAACATTAGTTAGTTCTAATATAAACATTAAATGGAAATAAATTGAATGTATTAAATAATGAAATATAATTTTACACATAAACTATATTTATTTTAAAATAATTGTTTTTTTGTTTAATAATATATTTTCATAAGTTTTAAAACATGTTATATAAGTCAACAAATAGTCAAAATACTCACTTTTGAGTTCGCGTAATTCACCGCGGAGAGAATATGAATATTCTTCGTAAACCCAAAAAACAGGAAAAATGTGTATTAAAATAGTTGGTAGCATACCGTCAAAAAAGTATGGTGATATTAAATGAAATTATTATTTTTAAATTAGTAAAAGTTTTATTATTTTATCCTAATATGAAAATATTTTATTGGCAATGTTTTTTTTTAGAATGAACCTTATACAAGATTAATTTCAATAAAAATATCGATCATCGAAAATCATAAGTATGTGGTCCCATTAAAATAGTAGGTAGAATACCGTCAAAAAATATGATGATAATAAATGAAATTATTATTTTTCTTAATAAGTAAAAGTTTTTGTTATTATATCCTAATATGAAAATATTTTATTGGCAATGTTTTTTTCTAGAATGAACCTTACACTAGGTTAATTTCAATTATGAATTTTAATAAATATATCGATCACCGAACACTATAATTATGTGGTCACATTAAAATAAATGGTAGAATACCGTCAAATAATATGATGATAATAAATGAAATTATTTTTTCTTAATTAGTAGAAGTTTCGTTATTATGTCCTAATATGAAAATATCTTTATTGACAATGTTTTTATCAAAATGAACAATACACAAGATTAACTTTAATTATGAATTTCAACATAAACATCGATCACCGAATACTATAAGCATGTGGTCCCATTAAAATAGTAGGTAGAATACCGTCAAAAAATATGGTGATAATAAATGATACTATTTTTCATAATTAGTAAAAGTTTTGTTATTATGTCCAAATATATTAATATCTTTATTGACAATGTTTTCACTAGAATGTACATTACACAAGATGAATTTCAATTATGAATTTCAACACAAATATCGATCATCAAATATCATGAGCATGTGGTCCCATTAAAATAGTAGGTAGAATACCATCAAAAAATATGGTAATAATAAATGAAATCAACTTTTTTCTTAATTAGTTTAACTTACGTTATTATGTCCTATTATGAGAATACCTTTATTGACAACATTTTTCTAGAATGAACCTTACACGAAGTTAATTTCAATTATGAATTTCAACAAAAATATCAATCACAGAATACCATAAGCATGTGGTCCCATTAAAATAGTAGGTAGAATACCGTCAAAAAATATGGTGATAACAATTGAAATTATTTTTTTTCTTAATTAGTAGAACTCACGTTATTATGTCCTATTATGAAAATACCTCTATTGATAACGTTTTTACCAGAATTACACAAGGTTAATTTCAATTATGAATTTCAAACAAATTTCGATCACCAAATACCATAAGCATGTGGTCCCATAAAAATTATAGGTAGAATACCGTCAAAAAGTAAGGTGATAATAAATGAAATCATTTTTTTTCTTAATTAGTAGAAGTTTCATTATTATGTCTTAATATGAAAATATCTTTAGAAAATGTTTTTACTAGAATGAACCTTAAACAATGTTAACTTCAATTATGAATTTCACAAATATCGATTTTTACCGAATATCATGAGCTTATGGTCCTATTAAAATAGTAGGTAAAAAATCGTCAAAAAATATGATGATAATAAATGAAACAATTTTTTTCTTAATTATTTAGTTTCGTTATTATATCCTAATATAAAAATATATTTATTGACAATGTTTTTATCAGAATGAACATTACACAAGATTAATTTCAATTATAAATTTTAACATAAATATCAATCACAGAATATCATAAGCATTTGGTCTCATTAAATTAGTAGGTAGAATACCGTCAAAAAATATGATAACAATAAATAAATTTTTAATTAATAGAAGTTTTGTCATTACATCCTAATATAAAAATATCTTTGTTGACAACGTTTTTTTTCCAAAATAAACTATACACAAAGTTAATTTCAATTATTAATTTTAACATAAATATAAATATCGATCATCGTAAATATGTGGTCCCATAAAAATAGTTTTTTTGGTCTTACATATATCAATCGAAGTGGCATTTAAGGTAGTTATTCCCAAGAAATGAGGGCATTTTATTTGTCTATTTTTCTAATATTTTGACTATATAATAAAGGCTTTATTAGGAGTACCTAACACTTCATTCTTTGTTTTCAACAATTAACAATAGACATAAGAGCTGATCTTTGAACAAAAAAGTCTCAATTCATCACAAAAATACAAAAATTACATCCTCTTAACTTTCAAGGTTTGTTCTTTTTTGTGGTAATCATTAATTAATGTTAATTCTTGATTTTGTTTAGTTTATGGTTGATCTTGAAAGTATCTTAAGTTGAATTATATTCCTCTATTATATGCACTTACCTTTTTCTCATTTTTTCCCTTTTTTTGGGTGATTAGAGTATGAAGTTGTGATTTTTCTGTATAAAGTTTTGATTTTTATGTTGTTAAGTAAGATTTTATTTGCAATTCTTTTAGTTATTTATTTATTTTTTGTATGAAGTTTTGATCTTTATGTTGTTGTGGGTATATAACTAGTGATTTTTTCTATGTATTTTATATGAAGTTTTGATTTTTATGTTGTTGGTCTATATATTAGTTGCAATTCTTTGTTTTTCTTTTGAATTTTGATTAGTCTTGAGGAGTTGCTTAATTAATGCAAATTATTGACTTTGTTTAGTTTATGGTTTAAGGTTTTGGTGTTGATCTTGAAAGCATCTTAAGATGAAATTTTGAGTTTATGTATGCAGTTAATATGCAATTTCCTCCTCTTCTTATTTGCAATTCCTAATCTTTTTTTTTTCTTGGAGGGGGGGGGGGTTGATGATGGTATTAGTGTTTTTCCATTTGTTTTGTATGAAGTTTTGATTTTTATGTTGTTTGATAAGAAGATTTGTCTTTTGATTGTAATTTTTGACTTTCTTTTGTGTTTGTTTTAGGTCTCTATGCTTTTTCATTTTCTTAGTTTCCTTAAGTTCTTAGATTGATGTATATGCTAAGTTATAACTCTAGTTAGTCAATTCTTTAGTATATGGTGGTTCATTTTCAGTTTATCGGATGGCAAAATTAACCCATGGAATCATAACCATCTATGTTTAGCTAAGGAGCATCATGTATTAATCGTTGTATGCTTTGACTGATCAAATTATATACTGTCTTTGTTCTGTAAATTAGCTTCTTTATGCTTTTGTGACAATCATACTGATGGTAATTTTTCGTTCTTGGCAGGTTCTGTTAGGCATCATCAGAGTTGCAAATTTCTTTTCGAGTTTACATTGTGACACGATTTTGAAAGAGTTGTTGTTGCTTGAGATGTTGTGAATGACTACTTTTAGTCGAGAGAGGTTTGCTGAGATCTAAGATTAGCTTTTGTCTGCAACGGTTGCTTGAAATCCGATAGTCATTTTGAGATGCAAACATCTCAGAGAACACAAATGTCTGGAAGTGTTCACGGATTGTACAATCAGCAAATGCAGCAAGTTGAGCAGTATTACGCCCCTTACGATGTTCTTAAGAACAGCTGTAAGGATAATCGTAGCTCAGGGATGCAATTCTCTTTACAGGCACAAGACGAACAATTCTTCACGCTGGACTCGTCACCAGCTACCGACTATGTTGTCAACGATTCACCTCCTGCCTTGAGTGTTTCTTCCAACAGGAGTCCCTTTTCTCCTCAATGTTCACAGTCATACATGTCTGATCTGCATCACTCCTCTGATAACACGTGTGGTTCGCCTTTGAGTGGGTGTTCAGGAATTGATGATGGTGACTTGAGACATGTGCTTCGGGAGCTGGAGAATAAATTACTGGGGCCTGAATCTGATACTGACGACAGCTGCAGTTGCTCCTTGAACGATATGGTCTCAAAACCGTCTTCTGTTACAAGGTGGAACCGAGTGTTGGACATGGCCCCTGGCTTGAACTTGAAAGAGTTGCTCGATGCCTGTGCTGAAGCAGTGTCAGATGCTGATATCTCTACTGCTGAAGCTCTTATGAGTGCTTTAGAGCAACGGGTGTCTGTGTCTGGGGAACCGATGGAACGATTGGGTGCATACGTGTTGGAAGGGATTAGAGCACGACTACTATCGTCAGGAAGCATCATATATAAAAAATTGAAGTGCAAAGAACCAACTGGCTTGGAACTATTGTCTTACATGCAAGTCATCTTTAACATGTGTCCATACTACAAATTTGCTTATATGTCTGCGAATGTCGTCATTAATGAAGCCATGATGAATGAAAACAGAATCCATATCATTGATTTTCAGATTGCACAGGGAAGTCAGTGGATGTTCCTCCTCCACTATCTTGCTCATCGTCCTGGTGGACCCCCATTTGTCCGCATCACAGGTGTTGATGACGACGAATCAGCTTATGCTCGGGGTGGAGGACTTCAGCTAGTAGGCAAAAGGCTAGCAGAAGTTGCCAAATCATGTGGAGTGCCTTTTGAATTCCATGGTGCTGCACTATCAGGCTGTGAGGTCCAACTAGAGAACCTTCGGGTTAAACATGGAGAAGCTCTGGCAGTAAACTTCCCTTATATGCTGCACCACATGCCAGACGAGAGTGTAAGTACTATCAATCATCGTGACCGCTTATTAAGACTAGTTAAGAGTTTATCCCCCAAAATTGTGACCTTAGTTGAACAAGAATCAAACACCAACACCGCCCCTTTCCTTCCAAGGTTCCGTGAAACTCTTGATTACTATACAGCAATGTTCGAATCAATTGATGCAGCTCGTCCTAGGGATGACAAGGAGAGGATCAGTGCAGAGGAGCATTGTGTGGCACGAGATGTTGTGAACATAATAGCATGTGAGGGAGCTGACAGAGTGGAAAGACATGAACTTTTCGGAAAATGGAGGTTAAGACTTATGATGGCTGGATTTACTCAATGTCAATTGAGTCCATCAGTTGGTGAGACCATAAAGCACATGTTGAAAGAGTACAGCCCTAATTATCGGTATGCAGAAGGCGAAGGAGCACTCTATCTTGGATGGAAAAATAGAGCTTTAGCAACTTCCTCTGCCTGGAGATGACATTTTTTGCCCTATGATCTCGTCGTTTCATCTTCATAACTTCTCGTTTCATATATACAGAGCTCGGAGTATGGAATGTTTAGGTTTCTACATGCTACCATAGGGAGGAATATTGTGAGTTTGAAATAGACTCCATGTCTCCATATTTGGGTATTGTCATTTCCCTTTGTATTTGAATGCTTTTTTTTTTTAGTTGTACATTTTTGTTATGCACGGGTTCATATTTGGTTAATCGAAGCCTATGTACAATCATTTAAAGGCATGAACGGAGGAGTTAATATCTGGTCACTCAACTTTGAGTTGTTTACTCAGAAAGTCACTCAACTTTGAGTTGTTTACTTAGAAAGTCACTCAACTTTATTTTGTAACTCAAAACTCATTAAACTATTGATGTTTAACTTGGAAAGTCACTCAATTATTTATATTTCACTTATAAAGTCACTCAATCAATTTAAATAATTTTTTCATTAAATCTTATTTTAAACTATTTTTAAAGAAATAATAAGATACTTATTTTAATTATTTTACTATCTGCTCCAACTATTTAATTATAATTTTTGTAAAATTTTTTTTACAGAAACAACTACAACCCCCTCCCCCCCCCCCCCAAAAAAAAAAAATCTTGATTCTATTAATTGTAAAACTAGAAATAAATTGTTAAATGATTACCAATAAAGAAAAATTGAAATTGGTAAGAAGTAATTAATTATTTTTTTGTATTTTTGTAAAATTTAATGAAAAAAAAGTTATTTAAATTGATTAAGTGACTTTCTAAGTGAAATATAAATAGTTGGATGACTTTCTAAGTATAACACACCAATAGTTGAATGACTTTTGAGTTAAAAAACAAAGTTCAGTGACTTTCGAAGTAAACAAATCAAAATTGAGTGATTTTCTAACTAAATTATTCAAAGTTGGGTGATCATATAAGCTATTATCTCATGAATGGAGTGAATAATACAATACTTCGTATCCTTCCTATCAAATCTTTAGTTCTCAACTAATTACTATGAGAAAAATTAAATATAGTAAGGTTAAAGGTCTGTGTATAACATGAATTGAACTCAAGCTTCATACGTCAAAAAAAAATATGAAAAATTTTATACCATTTTTAAATACTTAGCTCGTATTTGAATAAAGCAATTCATGTCTCACTCTTAACTTTTTTGGTATAGTAATTTTACTAAATCCAAAATTTGGATGAGGACCGAGTAATTAAAGCCAAATGGATCAAACATCCCTAAATTTCGAAAATAATTTTTAAAAAAAATGTTTTTTCCTTCCTTTAATGTACAGGTGGCAAATTATAATTTGTAAAAACTACAAACATTTAACTAATTACCAAAAAGAACGTTTAAAAGATTTCATTTTTATTTTCTCTATTGAAAAAAAAAAACAGCTCAATTTTCTATTCTTTGAATCTGAAAATTACAAATCCTTCCCCTCAGTCACCATCAACAGAGGTAGGTTTTTCAGTGAATTAATTTTTAAATTTTTCGTTTTTGTGGGATTTTTTTTCAAATAAACAACTAGTGTTTTTTTTTCTTTTTTATAATTTTCGTGATTATGGTGAAATTAAATCAATTTTTTTCTTTGTTTTTTTAATGGATGAAGATTTGTATGTTATGGTTGATTAAGAACCTGAGATAATTCTTCTTCTTTTTTTTCGATTCTCATTCGATGTTATGATTGTGTATTGATATTTGCATCTTTTATTTAGGGTTTATTTTATTTGAAGCTTATTATTGATCATCGAAGGTCTATTATAAATGTTGAATCATAGTGCTACAAGCCTACATATAATTTGCATTTCATTTTACATCTAAAATGAAATTAGAGTAAAAAAGAGTGATTCAGTCGGTATAGTGCATACATTTTGCCCTCTTCAGACTCCATGTAAGAGATTACACTGTTATGTTACGTTGTTTGTTTGTTTGTTATTGTCAATTTGGTTTAAATTAAATCATACAAACTACAGAAAATTTGTGTTGCAAGACGGTATCAGAAACTTGAAGAATATTTGGTTCAATGGCTACTGAAGAGTCTAAAGAATGGCATGTAGTAAAGAACTGGAGGAATGCACAGAAAGAAAAAGAGAGAGAACGTCGTAGAATACGCGATAGGTTGAGAAGACAAACAATGAGCAATGAGGAGAGGGAAAAACACTTAGCTAGACGTCGAAGAAACTATCAATTGAGAAGACAAAAAGTTTTGAACAATTCTTCATCTTCAGTTTGTCAAAACTGTGACAGTACTACTAGTGCAGGTATTCGTGTTATGAAATTCACTCTGTTATTAACGCGTTATTATAAAATCCTGGATTCATCTCTGGTCGTTGCAGGGTACTCTAATGAAGACGAAAATCAAGCAACTGTTCCTGTTTCTGGACTTGGGGTTCAGTTATCTGATGCTACATTTCATCCTGAATTATATAAATCACAAGAAGATGCATCAAGTGCATTGCACAAAGGTATATTTTGTATAATTTAGATATATGAACTTATACTATAATAGTGGTGTTGAGGGCGCGCCTCTACTATTATAATGGTTACTTTACTCAGATTCTTCAAAAATGTTGTCGATCCTCCAAATACAACACAACACTTTGGAGAGTTTGAGGCGACATAAAGTAGACGTAAATTGGTGTCTGGACCAACTTGTTTGCACCTCGACTATTCCACTTGATACCAGCATAGGTTGTCGTCTTTTTTACCTTTTTTGAAAAGATTCATTTTTTTTCTTTTGTGATTGAATAGGAGTTGAAGAAAGGAGTTATAAAGTACAGAGAATTCAAAACACTATGCCATTATATCAAATAAGACATCTTGCCAGATTATTGAATTCTTTTTCAAGTAACAATCAAGAAATTGGGACCAAGGACAATGTGAATACAGAGAGTAAGTTTCTAACACAAACTTTTTTCATGTCTTTTTTTTTTTTAATTCGTTGTCTTTCTATCGCGCTGAATTTTAACTGATATTCAGGTAGATCGCGAAGAGGCATAAGGTTAATTGATGTTAAGCGTCTGGCACGAACGCTTAATTCAAATTGAAGATTGTTTTCTCATTACCTTAGCTGCATTGTTGTTGTTGGTAATAACATTAAGGATTCAACTGCAGTTTTTTGTTTGTTAATGTTGATCTTTTCTTGGTATAGTACATAACTATTTTCTTAGGTTTACGAACATTCTACGATCATGACCAGAGAGTCCAGTGGCCAAAGACATGAAGCAAACATCCACGACTATTTATGCTATTGCAACCCAGTGATAGGAGCTAGAATTTTCACTAAATGAATTCAACATATAAAGAGAAAAACACAAAAAGATTGCATTAACCATTGGTAAGAGGACTACCAGTGTTTATAAGTCACAAAGAGAAGTAAACTTAGTAGTAAGTTGTAAATACTCAACGCTCTAACTAATGTGCTATCAATGAAAAAATAGTTGAATTATGCAGAGGCTTCGTTTCCACGACTTCCCTGTTTCAAAAAATTGCAACAGAAAGAAAATCAGTACCATGCTTAAAATGGCATTGGTAATAGGGTTAATTCAGCAAAAGAAAAGGATAGGTAAAGATAGGCCTAGGTATGCATTAAATCAAGTTACAAACAACAAATATCAAGAAACTCCAAGTATTCTTGATATGTCTACAACCGTTAGAACAATATGGAATTCAACTATGTAAGCAAGAATCGTAGAGACACTAGAGAGTCGTCACCATCAAACTGACCAACACACCACATTTAGCAAACAACGCTAAGCACATCAAGTTTCAATATCAATACTAGCGTGTTTGTATTGAGAGGGAGATCGAACCTGATGATGAACGTCAGTGTGCTCCTACGATTCCATGAAGCCTCCTGCATTTCGCCATTCAGGAAAATGCTTCTTAAGTATTTCAAGAAGCTGCTTCCCGCTTTCCATAGAACAGGGCCTCTTAGCTATTTCAGCAAGCTCCTCCTTGTCTATTTCACAAGGCACCTTCTTAGCAAAGTCAGTAACCAGATGAGTCCATTGTCTGTGAAGACGCTCAATTTCTCTGCCTCGAGACTCAATTAGTCTGTCAAGACGCTCAATTTCTGGGTCTTGAGCCTCAATTTTTCTGTAGTATAAAGATAGGGACAAACCAGGTCAAAATGTTATTCCGACTGAAAAATGACAAAAGAAATGACCCCCATAGAACTAGTACAACATCCCGAGGATCCTAATATGGCTTACGCAATTTTCTTCCCTTTGAGAAAACTTTTGGGATACGAGTTAAGCCCAACATCCATTTAACAAAAACATTAAAAAATCTAAATTAAAAGGAAAAAGCAGTAGAAAACACACTCAATCAACCTGTTATTTGATTATTTCTAATGAAGTTGTGTAAAATTGACCTCGAAAATTTATATTGCGAGAATTAAGAATTTGAGAGTTCTAATTTTCTTCAATAGTAGTCAATCTGTTGTCAATCTAATCTATTTTATTAGGAAATTAATATACATATATGCTAACTCGCACCACCCAGAAAGCAAACCCTGGCAAGGGGTTTCAAACTTGAGACTTCCAACATGGAAGTTCCAAGCTCAAACCACTGAGCCGCTCGGAAGGGTTAATCCATTGTTACTTTTTTAAGGAAATTGCGTAAATTGATGTCAAAAATTTATTTTTTGCGCCCAATCGTCCTTCTTGAATTAGAGTTCCTCGAGTATGGAGGAACTCCAATGCCTAGAATGATTTTTTATTTTAGTTGAGCTTTAATGCCGAGATGAAGGGAAAAAAAACGACATAACACTCAAAACTTGGCCTTAAGTGGGAAATCATATATAAAACTCAACTCATTATTAATCAGCTTATAACTTGATGAGTTAAGAGTTTTTAATTATACGAAATCGAAGCAAACTAAACATTCAACAACAATATTAACAATGAGTTCACAATATTAATCACATTACCTCCCTTCATGAATCTTAAGATTCTGAAACCATTTTTCCAATTCAGATTCCAAAAATTGATTGTGAATACATCTACCGCAATCGGAACAAGGAGGATCTCCATTGCAATCTGGACAAGCGACATGAGGAGGAGGTCTCGCCATTGTTAGGGTTTTGCAAGGAACGAAAGAGATGAACTTTAACCCGCAAAAATTGAAGATTTGGGTATTTATAGATTTAATCGGTACAACTCCTAATACATTGCGTACAAACAAAGTGACCTAGTTTGATTGTGATTTCTTTTTTTAACATTTATTTAAATAATTTTACTAAAATATAATCGAAATTGTGTTAAATTTTTTCAGATTTTCCTAAAATAAAATACTAGTTATATACGATTGAGAAACAAATAGAAAAAATTTACTTCACTTTCTTTTTAAGAAAATAAAATTAGGTATATTTGTGTTATTGTTATATAGTTTGGTAATTTTGATTTTGCAAATTTTACTAGATGGGTAAAATTACGTTTGTGTTTATATTTTTTGTTTGTCTTTTATTTTTACTCATTGAGATAAATAATTTTTTTGTTTAGTATAAATTTAAATTCTTACATCATAATTAATGTTAATAATATAGTTTCTGAGAAATTTATTTTCCGAACAAGTAAAAGGCTTTATTCTATTTGCTACAAATTTCGAATGTTCAATTTTGAGGAAAATATTAGTGATAAAAATAACAAAAAAATGTAAAATATATTATTCCTCAATAAATAATTAACGTAGGCGGAAAAATTTCAATCCTACAGTTACTCAAAATTTAGAAAATACATTATAATACTTCGTAGTTTAGAGGTACGATGTGCCCTTTTTCGGTTCGGTTTTTATACTATTTGGTTTGAATTTTTAATTTGTAGTGTTAAAGAAGTGTAACTTAATTCGAACCAAAATAAATTTGGTTTGATTTTCTCTTTTTGATTTGTTTTTTCTTTAGTTAATCGGTTATGTCAATAATTGAAAACAAAACAAAGCTATATTTGCAATTTTAAAAAAAATTAATATATATATATATATTGAATTTCTTAAATATACTTTTTAATATAAATCATAAGTAAAACGTAAAACACAAAACTTAAAAGTATATCAATTATAGATGTCCAAACATAAGAAAATAAACTAAATTACAATGAAAATAACTAAAAAAGAGACAAAAATGGTTCACTCCAACTTAATTCTATATATACTAGATATCATGTGTGCGCACCAGCGCAGACTCAATTTATATTAGTTATCATGTATGCGCGCCAGCGCAGACTCAATTTATGTTAGTTTTTTTCCTTCTAATTTATGTGATACAAATGAAATTTGAAAAGGTGAACTAAATTTTTTTATGTGTTTTCTAAAAAATATTTTAAATTGTTAATTTATGGAGTATTTTTATGTTATATTCGAATAATATATGTTACTCCATCTGCTTTATTTTAGGTGATACAAGTGATTTTATGAAAGTAAACGAAATTTCTTATATGATTCTCACATATTTTTAGTTGTCATTTTATTGTGATTCATAGTACTTTTTAGTTCTTACGTTATTTTTAAGGGATAATGCACAAGTACCCCCTCAACCTATACTCGAAATCTCAGAGACACACTTATACTATACTAAGATCCTATTACCCCTGAACTTATTTTATAAGTAATTTTCTACCCCTTTTTAGCCTACGTGGCACTAGTTTGAAAAAAAAGTCAACCATTGTTGGGCCCACAAGATAGTGCCACGTAGGTCGAAAAGGGGTAATAAATTATTAATAAAATAAGTTCAGGGGGGTAATAGAACCTTAGTATAGTATAAGTGTGTCTCTGAGATTTCAGGCATAGGTTGAGGGGGTACTTGGGCATTATCCCTATTTTCAAATAATATATGCAACTTTTTTTGTTTCGATAAAATAAAGGAGTCAACTAAATTTCATTATGTTTCTTAAGTTTGTTTTTCTAAAAATATCTTAAATTGTTACATTGCGCTTTTAAGTTTCTTTTTTTTAAATGTAATTTTCAAATATGTATCAAATTAGAAATTAAAACGAAAAATTAAAGTTTTCAAATTGTTATATTTTTATATTAAAATGTTCATACCTTTAAAAGTCCACATATATGCAAAAATTAATAGAAGGAAGTCAAACAATTTTTTTTAAAAAAATAATAACATATGAAAGCTCATTTCAATAATAACACATATATATATTTCATTTTTAATATATGACTCCCTCCTTTTTTATTTTATATGAACTTATTTTTTATTTCATTTCAAAAAAAAAAATAACTACTGATTTTTAATTTTTTTTTATATAGCATATTAAAGATTACAAAATTAAAAATAATACACAAAATTTTATATACATATAAATTTTAATTTTAATTTTTATTGGTTCCACCTAATATTATACTTGATATAATTACTAAGAGCTAAGCATAATCATTGTTCATTAACTTTCATATATTAAATAGATATCACAATAATTCATAAAAAAAGAAGAAATAACAAAAATGAGGTAATATTGATAATAATACCTAAAGATGTTTATAGAACTATTTAATTTTTTTGTTATTATTCTTGGTAGATTTTTACTTGTATAAGTTATATTTTTACCTTTGATCATCATTCACTTTATACATAGAAACATATTTCTAAAATTATTTAATTATTCTTGATAGATTTTTGTTAGAATGAATTACATTTTTATTCTTGGTCATCTTTAACACAAATATATTATCCTATTCATTTTTATTTGTAAAGTTACTTTAACATCTTTTTCTTTAATTTCAATCTAATATATATTATTAATTTTATCACACTAATTTATTTTCAAGTATATAATTAGAGCCAAAATAAAAATAAAATAATTAATTCATGATATTTTTATAGAAAAAGTAGACTTTTTATAAGAATAATGAATAGAAAAAATATTAAGAATTAAATTAAAGTAATAGTAAAATAGAGTAATAATAAAATAGATGTCACAATAACTCATAAAAGAAAGGGAAAATACCCAAATATCCCCTCAATCTATGCCCGAAATCCCAGAGACA